GAAGGCAGTCGCTTAACCAACTGAGCCACCCAGGCGCCCTACACATATTTCTTAATACAGTGTGGGGAGGGCAGAGCCCCTACAACCCCCTTGTTCCTTTTGTAGCTTTAATAGAACCAGGAAAGAATAAGGAGGGCTGGGGAGCTGTGTAATTCAGGCTACAAGCTGAATGCAAACATCATGATGTGAGCATTACCCAGCTGAAGGAGGGACAGAAAGAACAAAGGCAAAAAAGAAACTGCTCCAAACAAAGCAGGGAGCCAAGGAGGGGAGCAGGAAATGCGCCCTCTTCCCAGGGATCTTGCAACTCCTCACCCAAGTAATAAATGAGCACACCTGTACATGCACAGGATCCCCTGGTGACCTGATATGCACATGGGGACAGCTGTACTTGCTTTTTATCTGATCTTTAGTCTCAGCGCCTAAAGATTTTAGTATCTCAGGGGACTTGCTCGTAAGGGAATTTGGGACCCATCTCTTTCCATCGGTGTCCAGACTGTTCCACTGAACTTGCAAAGCATGACTCACTGCCCAAACTTCGGGGTCTCCCTAGGAAGTCAGAGAGGGCCATAGCTGCCTCCCACTTCCACCAGTTTGCTGGAAGAGGACATGATTTCACCAGTAAGGAAAAGAAGTCACAAAAGATCTACTCTCAAGATAGGGCTGAAAATCTTTGGGTGACCTTTATCCAGGCCTGCATTTGCTGCTGGAGACAAGTTCCAGGTGTTCAATGGCTATTTCTCTCAACACAACACCAAGTATTGTGTACTGATGTGGGTCTCTGCATATCCAGAGGTCTTTATAAGCCCTCCGTGGTTAGCTTCTGACTGCTCAACCAGCCTTTCACTACCTTGACTCAGAAATGATCTCTAGGTCCAAAGCCAAATAGCCAGAAGCAATCAAAGCTAAATCAAGGTGTGTTTTGGTCAGGAAGCTCAAGTCCTGCCCTCTCCTCTTGGTAAAATAATCACAGTGGAAAACATACTTCTACTGAGAAACCTGTTAACCCAGCCTCTGGCTTACTCCTATTATTTTTATCATCAAGGAAAAAAAAAGAAAGGTCAAGCAAGTAAACCATTTCAGGCCTTAGAGTTAGGCTCTGAGTTTCCATTCCAGCTCTCTCAAGTTAACAGCTGTGTGGCTTGCGGTATCTTACTATACCTCTCTGAGCTTCAGGAATCATTGAGCAAATTAGAAGCAATGCGGTTGTGCCAATAAATGTAAACTAGAGTGCAGATTCCTGTACCTGCATTGTCTAGAGCTCTTTAATGGAAGTTCCAGAGAATCCCATAATCACCTGCATTATTGGAGTCATCCTACGATACATTTTCAGGTACAAGTTCCTTGATTTCTCTCCCTCAGGCTGAGAAGTTTCCTCCCTTAGTCATATGCAGCCTCGAAAAAATCTCTCACCAAATCACATGAGCCACAAGGGCTCACCCTGGCAAACCAGATTTTCTTCATTGCTGGCAAGGCCAAGACGAATGCTTGGATGGGAACTCTGGGCACCACATTTGGAGCTGACACATGATATTATTTATGTGGTTTGCAAACCGTGCTCGTTCCAATAACTGTGTTTTTTTGTTTTTGTTTGTTCTCAATGAAACAGGGTGGAATAGAAATTACCCACGTAGCTGGTATCTAATAAGGTAAGTACCGTTTCAGAACATGTGTATGTGTGTGAACTTGGGTCTTCATGCAAGATATATTTCTTACTATGGATCTCAGTCCACAAATTTTAAGACATGCTGTTGCATGAACTGCTACCAGGCTGCCCCTCCAGGTGGCTTTCTGTGTCTAACTCAGCCCTCCCACAGCCGGCAGCTCATAACTGGTTTTCCCTGCAGTCCCACCTGGAACCTGAAACCCGCAAGCATGGCTGCTCGCCTCAGCAGACATTTGAAGACAAGCACTGGAAATCTAGGTGTACCTTTCAGATGTGCCTACAATTTTTGGGGGGGGTAGAATGAGAACCTCATGCAGTTTTATAAATGAAAATGCTAGGAATCCTAAAGGAAAGTCTGCTTGAATCTTTGCTTCACTAGCTCAGACCCCTTCCAGAACCATCAGCAAACATAAATGGTCAAAATGCCTCCCAAATGGCTCACCTCTTCCAGTGCACAAGTATTTGCATTTATGGCATTCCAGGAGTCCTTCAGCCTCTGACTGGTAATATTCCACTTCCTCTAGGCCAGACCTGGGGTTCGAGGGCAGGTATCTCCCTGAAGTGGGTTCACTATAACTGAAAACATACATGGCCATTAGGGTCTTCAATCTCAATGCCCTGTTCAGTATTAGAACCCTGAACATCTCATGCTGTCATTAAAGAGACGTGCAGAACAGAAACAAATTTTGCTGCAGCATTTCATATTCCAGAGAATTCTCTGGTGTAATGGCCCCACAGGGTATCCAAACACTTGGCCCAACACTGCTAAGGCACCATGCTGCATATCCCTATAATTCTGAGCGCTGATTGGATGCTGGTTTGCCCAGCTGCGGGAGCTACCTAACCAGGTAGCCGGGAGCCACCTTTGTGAGCCTAACTTTTCAGTTCAGCACGGACAGGGCCTTCTTTAAAGTTAGTTTACATGCATAAGAGTCTGATGCCCAGGCTGGTATTCTCTTCCTTCTTATTACTTTGAAAAGGGCTGAATCTGCAATAATCCTCTAGGCATACGGGTAATACAGATAACTTTGAATGTCTTCCTAGCTCTACGTCTCTGCTAGTTTCCTTCCTTCCTCCCCTTTATCCAGCATATCCTGAACTTTGTCCAGGATGCAATGGTGGGGGCTGCATTCTACCTGCTGGGCGCCAGGGATCCTTCCAGTGTTCTCACTATGGAAATCCATAGTGAGATTGAAATCCTTAAACTCTCATGGCCTTGGATATAGTCCAAACTTAGCATAGCACAGAAGGCCCTTGCTCATCTCTCGTCACTCACAACCTCACACTCAATAGACCCAGCCATAGTGAACTGCTCCTCTCCCCCTGCCCCCCAAAAAGATGACCTGCACTCCCATGCTCTAGGTCACTGGGGAAGCTATTTCTCCGCTTGGAACCCCTTTCATTTCCTCTCCCAGTCTTCCCATTCTTGTTCCTTTTCTTTTTTTGATTTTATTTGTGAGAGAGCACTGGTGGGGGAGGGGCAAAGGGAGAGGGAGAAGCAGGCTCCCCTCTGAGCAGGAAGCCTGTGGTGGGACTCTATCCCAGGAACCTGGGATCATGATCTGAGCCAAGGTAGACGCCACTCAGGTGCCCTCATTCTTGCTCCTTTTCCAGAACTCAGCTTTGAGGTCAGTATCCTCCAGGAAATCTTCCAGATCTCAGGCAGGGGATCTGTTCTCTCCAAATCTGTTTCCCCTGCACGTTTACCTGTCAGTCTCCTACCAGATTGTGGACACGGTCAGTAGATCTCACCCATTAAGTAAGAGCCCTGGCTCCCTCCATCCTGCCCATTAAATAAAAGCTTATTGTGTGGAGGAAAGGTGGAAATAAATTGTCCTTTGGTTTCAAACCACCAACTGGCTATGAGCCAAAAAATCAAAAGTATTCCCTTCACTCACCTTGGGGCTGGGGGGGACCAGGACACTGGCTTATAAGGAAACCCAAAATGCAGCTCAGGAGATACTAATGCAATTTGGCTTTAGTCAGGGACACACAACAGCTCGTGCCTGTATCTGGGCACAACCTTTGTCAGAGTTTGGCTAGTTGGTTTTAGATAATGGAACATAAGCTCAGGATAACAGCTTTCCAGCTGTGTGGACACAACAGAGAAGGAGACTGAGCTTAAGCCTCCAAATCCTACAGCAGAGAGGAGCCTGACATTTCCTTAGAGAAGAGGGCAGGTGTCCCAAACCAGAAGGCAGTCATCACCCCAGTACCTGTCTCCTTGTTGGCCTGGCACATATTCTGGTCATTCAGGAGTATTTGTGGAGCTCGATGGAATGGAAAAAAGACCAACTCCCGACGGGGGTGTGGAGTCTAGGACTGACTGCCTCCTCTCCTCCTTTCCATCCCTACCCTCTCCTAGCTCCCTAAGCCTTCCAGAACAGCATGAGGCTTTCACCTCACAAGGCCTTACGGGAATTCTCTGTGCTCTACAAGGCAGGGACAGCACAGTTGGTTCATTCAGGGAGGTGGGATCTGAAACAATGAGGGGATTTGAATGAGGCTCTCCAGAAAGACTTTAGTGACAGCGGTAGGCAATCTCTGCCCTTCAGTGGGGGAGTTTTAGGTAGATGTAGTTGTTTGGTTAAAAGTGTAGCTTCTCCCAGCTGTCTGTTTTGAAATGCATATACCCCTAGGCCAGATTAAACATTAACCCTTCATTGGGCTGACCTTATCAGGTCCTGACGGGACTCTGGAAGGTCGGTTTTGGAACACAGGACAAGAATCTGAAGCCCCACGGAGCAGTCCTGTGGGCACGTTGGGGTTGGGTCGGGGGAGGTCAGGGAGGAGCCTCAGGTTAACCCCACCTCCCTAAACTCCTTCCCACCCCTTCCCTTTCCGGTCCTGAAGTTCTCTCTCCTTCCTTCCTTGGTCCCCGGCCCTGCCACTTTTAACGGGTGGTTTCTGCTTTGTTAATCGGGGTTCGGATCAAGAAGTGGGGGCACCGTAAGGTTTTCCTTCCCTCCCAGGTCACCTCTAAAAGCGCAGAAGGGGGGAATGGCACTTTCTTCCTTGAAGCCGGCTTCCTAGGCCACGGAGCCTAGGGCGCCGGTGCAGCTCCGGTGGGGGGGGGTCTCAGACCCAGGCTTTCCGGGTGCCCAGGTCGCAGGGCGCCCCGCAGCCCCACCTCACCTTGCCGGGCCACCGGGTGCGAAGCGCTCCTTCCTCTGGATCGGCGGCTCCGGGGTTTCCCAAGGCGCGGGCCAGGGGGGCGGGGCTTCGTCCCAGGTCGGCCTCCGGGGTCCGTCCCGCGTCCGGCTTTGGTGGGACTTTTCCCAAACTCTTTGTTCACCGGCGCGAAGGTCCCTGACCCGGTGTCTGTCCTGGCGAGGGCCTCGGTCCCTCCCCCTGTCCCGGTCCCCGTCCCTCCGCTCGCCGCCGTTTCTCTCCCTCCGCCGGTCCCCCGGTCGGCCCCGCTGTCGCTCGGGATGGCGGTCTCGGTCCGGGCGGGGGTGCCGGTCTAGGTCCCGCTCTCTCGGCCGGGCCCGGGGCTCGCGAGCCGCCGACGTACCTTCCATGGCCCGTTTCCGTATCCACGCCCCAGAGCGACCCGAGGGCAACAATCCACAAGTTTCGCGGGCAGGTGGCCAAGACCGGGGGCGGGAGGGGGCGGGGCGCTCACCTGCGCGTACGCGCGCTAGCCGTACGGCGGGCTCGGAGAGCGCTCACCTGAGCGCGCGCGGCGGCAGGGGGCGCGGCTGTGCGTGGCCGGCGTGCAGGCGCGCGGGGAGCGTGTGCGGGGCTGGGGGCTGGGGAAGCGAGTGGTTCGCTGCTCTGCACCCGGCGCAGCGCACACCCGCCCGTCCGCCCGTCCGCCCGCCCGCCCGCCGCGCCTAGTCTTCCCTGGAACGTCCTTTCCGTGACCCCGGAAGGTGGGTGGCATAGGGAAGCGAGCTCTGGACTTTACCAGGCCCTCGGGTGTGCATTCCCGTCGCGTGCTCATCCAGTCGCCCAATCATTTTTCCTGCCCCTCCAGCCGCCCAGTCGTCTCCCCCTCCACTGGCCCGCCCTCGCTTCCTCCGTCTCCCGCTATCCTTTACAACCGTGTTGTTCAGGGGGCTTGAGGCCAGTTCATCTACTGCAATGGCCCTGGACTTACCAACTTTATTTTAAAAATGACTAACGACACAGAATAGGCATCTTTTCCTTTTGCCAAGTAAGGATATTTAAAAACATAAAACTGCCGTCTGTTAATTCATCCTTTAGAGAAATATACGTGAGCATCTACCCTAGCAGGCCTTGGAGATGCAGTGGTGAACTCTCATTGCGTGGCGTTTCCCTTTTGGCGTGTGTGGGAAGAGAGAAAGGGCACTAAACGAAGAAAGAGACAATGTCTAAAATTGAGGAGGGCAGGTTTCTTTCTGCAGATCTGAGAAGGGACCTTTGAACTGAGTCCTGGAAGGCAGCTTTGGGGATAGCTGAGAGAATGTTCTGGAAAGAGAAGCTGGGTAATGCAGAGAGCTGAAACAAAGTTCCAGGGGAATGAGTGGGGATAGGATGAGACTGTGAGGTGGAGCAGGCAGGTGGCGTAGGGTGTCCATCGTGAAGAGTTGTTTTCATTCTGAAAGTAATGGGAAAACATTGAAGGATTTTGAGCAAGAGAGCGAGCTACTCTGATTTACGGTTTTATTTTTTTTATTATTACTTTTCATTTATTTATTTTTTTTTTTGAGAGAGAGTCTTAAGAGGCTCCACACCCAGCATGGAGCCCGAAGGGGCTTGATCTCATAACCCTGAGATCATGACCTGAGCGGAAATCAAGAGTCAGACACTTAACCGACTGAGCCACCCAGGCGCCCGTGATTTATGGTTTGAAAAAACCACTCTGGCTTTTGTGTAGAGGGTGAATGACAAGCAGCCAAGGGTAGAGGCAAGAGATAAATTAGGAAGTTGCCAAAGCAACCCGAGTGAGGGGAGATAGTGGCTCAGTTGCTGGTGAGAAGTGGGTGGATCCGGGTTGTGGTTTGGAGGCAGAACTTAAAGGATGGTTTGGATGTGGGGGAGTGAGGGTGGTGGAGGCAACCGCTTACTGAAATAGGAAGACTGGAGGGAACGGGGTGTGGGGAAAAGTGGAGAGTTCTATTTTGGACATGCTAAATTTGAGGTGGCTATGATTCATCCAAGTGTAGATGTCCAGTTGCAAAGGGATAGATGAATGAGTGGGGGTGGGGCGCAGAGATGCTCTGTGGGAATAAAAGGGCTCCCCCTAAGGAGGGAGGAAGTTAGAAAGCTGAGGAAGACGTTGGGCAGAGGCCCAGGGAAATCTAACCTTTAGAGCTAAAGGATTAAGAAGAAGTGGTGAGTGAGGTAGGAGGAAATCCAGAAGGGTGAAGTCACCAGACCTACCTGCCAGACGTCATCCTGCAGAAGCACTGTGGGCCAAATCCTAGGGCCTCCCACAAATACTTACGTGAGCAGCACCTTGTTCTGAGCCTGGGACAGCTGTGGCCATCCAGGAGGCAGACACGGTATGGTTAGTGAGGTCGCAAAGTGCTGCCTCTCTCAGACCTTCCCTCTGGGCCCCTGGAACACTCTTTTTGAATAAACCAACGCCCTTACCACCCCACCTTTTTGTGTCCCTTGTTTTTGTTTTGTTTTGTATCTTTACCTTGATCCACTACTTACTGGTTTTCTGTTGGGGGAGGCAAATGGCTCCATTTTGGGCTTTTTTTTTTTTTTTTTTAAGATTTTATTTATGTATTTGACAGAGAGAGAGAGGGAGAGCACACACAAGCAGGGGGAGCTGCAAAGGGAGAGGGAGAAGCAGGCTCCCCGCTGAGCAAGGAGCCTGATGTGGGGCTCGATCACAGAACCCCTGGATCATGACCTGAGCTGAAGGCAGACGCTTAACCGACTGAGCCACCCAGGTGCCCAATTGTTTTCTCTTTTTTAATAGTGCTTCACCCTTTGCTTTCTCTTTTCCCTTCACAGACCCCATCACTCTGAACACCAAGTCCACTGAAGGCAGGGTCTCTAAGAGTCATCTGTAAACACTCCCCATTCTGTGCTCAGTCAGTATTTGCTGAATGGAAGGATGGAGAGATACATACTGCTTTTTTACTCCATTTAGGATACTTTGTGGAACAAGGATGACCTGGATATATCTTTGTGGGAGGCTGTGGAGGAAAGTCTTTCCTTAACTTCTCCACAAACTGTCTATGGCAGATTGCCTTTTCTAAAAAAGGTCCCAACAATATTTCCAGTCCCACATATTCTTCCAGAACCGTGCCACTGCCCCATCAAGATGGAAAGTCTGTATCCCCACTCTGGGAGCCTAGGCAGTCCTTTGAGATTGCCTGGATGAAGAGATTCAGGGCTGGCTACATAATTTGTGGGGTCCAGTGCAAAATAAAAATATGGGGCCCTTTGTGTAAATGTTATTAGGAATTTCAATATGGTGACAGCAGAGCGTTAAACCAAGTGTAGGGCTGCTTTAAGCGTGGAGTCCTGAGTGACTGCACAGGTCACGTCTTGTGAAGCTAGCCCTGAATAGAATGTGCCAAAAGGGACAAAATGGCTTCTAGGGCCTGTCATAAAAAGCCATGCAGCTTTCCCCTGGCTCTTTGAGAATGTTCCCTCTTGGACAACAGTCACAGTAATGTGAGGAATCCCAGGGTACATGAAAAAGCCATGTGTGGGTGTTCTGGCTGTTAGCCCCAGCTGCAGTCCCAGCTGACAGCCCATGTCACCTGCCAGAGGTTGGTGAATGAGCGCTCAGTTGATTCCAACCCTAGCCTCTGAATCACCTCCAGTCTTTGGATTTCCTGCTCAGTTCCTACTGTTGTGAAGGAGAGACCAGCCATCTCCACCGGGCCGTTCCAAATTCCTGACCCACAGAATCCATGAGCATAGTAAATGGTTGTCTTATGCCTCTGAGTTGGCGGGGAGTGGGGGGATGGGAGTGTGGAGAGGGATTGGATTTGTTACTCAGCAAAAGATAACTGTTGTACCTTCCATGACTCTAGCTCATCTTGGCCTCTCCTTTCTCTGACGAGGGAACTTTTCTGAATCGCAAATTTACTGCAATTTTGGTTCAAAACATGCAGTTTATCTGTTGGTCCCAATATTTGAAAATTAACATTTATTTGTATTGTCTGTCTCTCTAGCCTGTCAACTCCCTGGAACAATGTTTTTGCCATTATGCCTGGCACCTAGAAGGTGCTCAGTAACTAATTGTTGGATAAATAACATTAGTTCTTATAGATGAATCTGTGTTCTGAGAAGGTTGACAGGGACCTTGTATGTTCCATAACGTCTTGCATAAGGTACAAGATGGCATAAGATGCATTAAACATAAAAGTTTCCAGCTATGTATAACTTTTAATAAATCAATCAACTACACAAGTAAGGAAGGAGTAAGTAAGGTAGCTGAGTTAGAGCCCAATGAAAAACTGATGGGTTTATTTAATTTTAGTTCCGTGTGTGTTCTTTTCGGTTTTGTAGAAAAGATTCGGAACCAATGTTCTGACCTTTCTTTACACGTAGTTAGAAGTATAAAATCTTCTGGTTATTCTGCCTTCTTCCAGGAACCCTTGGACAGACATTATGCATATGGTGGATGGTTACAAGGGCAGGAGCCCTTTTCTGAGGAAACCCCCGAATGTTCAACCTAAGCAAAGAGCACCAGTAGAAGACGGCCAAAGAATGGAAAAGGAAAGTACTCGCCATTGGTGTGTTAAAGAGAAATTTTCCGAAAAGGTAAGATCACAACTCTTATTCAGATATAAAACGGACACATGCTAAACATTTTGTTTAACTCAGTAATCACTGAGGGAATCAGGCAGATGTTGCAACAAGTGCAAAAGAAAATCTGAAGAACACACCCAGGATAGGCCAGGAATAATGAGATGAGTGTACGAAGGAGGCAAAACTGATTACTTGCAACGAGGGAAAGGAAAATCAGTTGCACCTTTATCAGAGAAGATAGAATTTCCATGTCTGTAGTCGAATTTTTTTTTTTTTTTGTATTGCCATCGATTACAATTTAGAGTTGTGAAATAATGTAGTTTTCTGCTGAGGCACAAATGGAAGGGCATTGCCTTCACTTAAACTGGGAAAGGGAGATGCTAAATGGTCTTAGAGATTTGTGGGTTTGGGAAAATGTAGCGAGAGGCTAGCCCTGAGGAGAAGAAGTATACACAGCCTCTTCTGACTTAGCAGGCTCGCAGCGAAGCCTGCGCATCTGCATTTTTTTTTTTTTTAAAGATTTTATTTATTTATTTGAGACAGAGAGAATGAGATACAGAGAGCATGAGAGGGAGGAGGGTCAGAGGGAGAAGCAGACTCCCCGCTGAGCAGGGAGCCCGATGCGGGACTCGATCCCGGGACTCCAGGATCATGACCTGAGCCGAAGGCAGTCGCTTAACCAACTGAGCCACCCAGGCGCCCAGCATCTGCATTTTTTAATAGTTCCATGAGGCATCCCGTTTGAGAACTAATTTATTAATATAAATTAGCATTCAATTTTCCATCCTAAAGGAGAGCCTAATGTGAGACTAATCCAAATACTCACCTAAGTTTTTACTTAAAAAGTAACCATTCCTGTTGGTTTTGGGTACATTCTATGGCAGTTTGGGGGCAGACGGGTTTACTTTCCCAATTCTGTTCTTTACTCTGAGTGGTTTCATGCAGCTATCCCGATCAGGGAGACAGTCCTTAAGGTGTGTGGATCCACGGGCAATTCCTGCATATTCCCTGCATGATCTCCTGGCTCCTTCTCCCTCTTAGAATTTCCTGTGCTGGGCGCCAGACTCCAGGCTCAAGCTCAGGTGGCAGAGGGGACTTCTGATGGGGTTAAGTCTGCAGCGAGGGCAGAGATGGCCAGCAGGGGGCAGCGCAGGCTCAGGCTGGAACGACTGCGCCATCTTCCCTTTCCTCAGCCTGAGCGTTTCCTGCTCACCTGGGCCTGGGTGACTGTTTCTCTCATCACAGGTGTGATAGAAAGCACACAGTTCAGTTTAGTTCAATATTCCTTGAACTTTGCATACTATGTAAGTGACCTTAGGAAGTTTCTCAACTTCTTTGTGCCCAGGTGTCCTTGTTTACAGAATAGGGATCTGTATGCATCTCCTAGGATTAAATCAAGTAAATATGTATAAAACACTTGAAGAGGTTGTAGGATATATTAATGCTATAAAAGTATTAGCTGTTATTGCTGTCACTGTTACTGTTTATCACGCACTGTGGACTCCTGGTGAATGAGACTTTTTCCTTTTTAAGATTTATTTATTTGAGAGAGAGAGAGAGCATGCATGCATGCACACGTGTGCACACGAGCAGGGAGAGGGGCAGAGGGAAAGAATCTCAAGCAGACTCCCCACTGAGCATGGAGCCCTGCATAGGGCTCAATCTCACGACCCTGAGATCATGACCTGAACTGAAATCAAGAGTCTGTCCCTTAACTGACTGAGTCACTCAGGCGCCCCTGGGACTGTCTTTGAAAGCTCACAGCTCTAAGAGGCAGAGAGGGAAATACTGTATGATATTGCAAAGGAAAAGCTGTGCGTGGGTGTACATGGGGTATGGAGGGTGGCAGAAGCCTCCAAAACACAGCTTCCCAGAGGAAGGAGTGCTTTTAGGAATAAATAAGACAAAGGGGTTTGCGGCTTGGGGAGCAAAGACAAGGGGTAGCCTTCTAAACAAAGGTGGGAGGGGGCAGCAAATAGAAAGCAGGCAGGCTTGGGGAGCTTCAGATTCCAATCCTTCCACTTGGACAAGCACTAGGAACAGGGAAGAAGTAAAGGGAAGAGAGGGGCAGGGACCAGATCATGACCAGCCTTGAAAGTCAGCCATATGGACTTGGGCTTATTGCTACGGGTCTGTGGGCTCCAAGCAAGGGCATTCAACCTCCACTGCAGGATAGGAAGGACATATTAGAGCTTTAATGTGTAAATGTTACCTTTTTGGGAATTTCTTTCTCTGTACGTGATTTATAATATAAGTAACGTGTTAGTACAATGGTATACAGATATAATTTATAAACAAATTTATAAATACATTTATAAATAAATAAATAAATTTACAAATAAATACAGTTGGCCCTTGAATGATGTGGGTGTTAGGACTACCAAGTCCCTGCCCAGTTGAAAATCTGTGTATAACTTTTGACTCCCCTAGCACTTAACTACTAATAGCCTACTGTTGACTGGAAGCCTTAAGGGTAACATAACAGTCAACGCATGTTTTGTATGTTATGCATATTGCATTCTGTATTCTTACAATAAAGTAAGTGAAAGAAAAGAAATGTTATTAACAAAGTCGTAAGGAAGAGAAAATACATTTACAATGATGTACTGTATTTACTGAAAAACATCCACATGTAAGTGGACCTGCACAGTTCAGACCCATGTTCAAGGGTCAACCGTATTTGTATATTGGGGTGCATGCTGGGTTTATGACTACAGGTCATGCAGAGCCACCAGAGATGGCTTTAAATGGAAGTGATAGAAATAACATTCCAGAATGTCTTGGAAGGAGAGCTGGCCCACGTTGAGGCCTTGGCATGGGGGACGACAAGGCGTGGACTTGAGTGATATTAAGGAGGTATTTAGTTCCATCAACCAAGAAGGAGCAGGTGATCTGTAAGTGGCCAGGTGGCCGAGAGCTTGGGGAACAGAATGTCAAATGCTCACCGAAGAACACTCAAAGAACATCAGGTCCCCAATGACTATCAGATATTGGTGCTATAGATTTTTTTTGTTACATTTTTTATTACAGAGAAGTAAGTAAATCCAAGATTGGAAACTGTCAGTTGTATCTGGACTGTAAAAGTGACCTTAACTAGGTCATGAGAGGACGATGATTCCTTCTTGCTAGGAAGGAGCCAGACTGCACTCTTGGGTGAGAAGAGTAGGAGCCAGGACCATTGCAGGGAGGAAGGGGGGATGGTTTTTCTAGAAGAAAGAGACTTAAGCGTATCTATAGGCTCAAGAGAGAGGGCATTAAAGGGATAAAAAATAGAAACAGCTTTTCCAGTAGCCTCCCCAGGGCCTGCTCCCCTCAGTATCACTCCACTGCCCCTCACCAAAGAAACCCCTTATCTGGTCGA